AAGAGAGAGAGAGAGAGAGAGAGAGAGAGAGAGAGAGAGAGAGAGAGAGAGAGAAAGGGCAGAGAGATCGATAGAGAGGGTAGAGAGAGAGAGGGGCAGAGTCGCAGAGAGAGGGTGTTTGAAGAAAGGGTTTGGTGTTTGGTGTTTGGTTGGAGAGAGGGAAGAAAGGGTTTGGTGTTTGGTTTTGGTGTTTGGTTGCAGAGAGGAGTGAGTTGCAGAGAGAGAGGGAGTCGTAGGGAGAGAGGGAAGAAAGGGTTTGGTGTTTGGTTGCAGAGAGAGAGAGAGGGAGTCGTAGGGAGAGAGGCAGAGAGGAAGAAGAAAGGGTGGGTGGGTCCCAACCCTCTGTTTATTAAAATAAATTTTTTTTTTCATTTTATATGTCATACTATTGTATTTTACAGTATTTAATTATTTTTAACATATGAAATGACCAATTTGCCCTCATATTTAACGGCAAATTGGATGAAATGATCGAATTTTGACGGTGGGGGGAACATTGATAATAAAATTTAATTCGAGCCTGTAATTGGCTAAAAAAAAAAGGTCATGGGGTAAATTGAGAGTTATGTACAAGTTCAGGGGTCAATTCGGCAGTATACCCATATTAAAAACGTTGTTTTTTCTTGTACACTTTTTGGTTAATATTTAAAATGTTGTTTTTTGTGGTTATATTGGAGGAAAGAAATCCTACTAGGGTTCAAACCTGGATATCATAGGGGGGAAAGGGAATCCACCTTCACTGTGGCAGGAACCCATTGGCTTTGATGGAATCACTTTAGCCCATCATGAGGCATCCATATTTTCCCCTATCTTCCATGTTGAATTCTCCTTTCTGGCTCCACCCACCTCCCACTCTCTCCCAATTTTTTTTTTGATGAAGAAACCCTCCAAAAAAATATATTGATTTTTGCTATTTGTTAAGTTTAACAAGTGATATTGGAAAGGGAGTATTCGAGCTCAGATTTCAAGTGCAAAGGTAAGAAATATTCTTAACCACTTCAGCAATAAGGCTCTTGTATCTAGCCCTCAAGTATTTAATTTAAACCATTTGTTGGGTAAACTATGACTAAATACCTTCCAGTCAAAGCACTGGATCATAGCCCCAAGTAGCCTACGCAGCATTTACATGGCTAAGTTCACACCAGGGCATATCCTCCTCCCAAACCCAAATGGCAAAAATTGAAAATGTTGCCCCCTAACATCAATTCTAGCCGTTCGATTGCCTCCTCCATCGAGCTATGTTAAGAATCTTTCCAAGGCTAAAGTCCAATTCTAGCACATTTGGGTGGTTGATGAGCTCTGCTAGCGCCCACTCCATTGAAATAGCGGTTGTATCTGTACCAGCTGTGAAGAAATCCTGAAAAATACAATTCATGTTGTGTCCATAATTAGGCCTTATAAAGTTTGGTAATCTTATCACATTTACAACTATTCTCAAATGGAATTGTTGTAGCACTCGAAAATAATTATTATAGAAAATTTGGCATAAGTTCAATTATGAGGAGAGATATTGGGTGCAATCCACGCATAAGTTGTTGATCCAAATCCTTTGAATTTTGCGCCACATAAGATTACATGCCTTTTTTGATTTATTTATATTTACTTTTTTTTAATTTTTAATTTTTTGTTCCAATTATGCACCTAAAACATAAATAAGGTAAATTATGAATTTGTAAAACTGGTAAGTTATTGATTTGTAGGACATTAATTATCATATTTGATTTGAATTTAATTGCAAATCTATTTATTGAATTTTGAAAATTTCGCAAGATATACCAACATCAAAATTTGTAATAAGAGTTCTTGAAAATTTCATACCTTAACAATAGGTAAGGTACCTGTGCATACACCTCGTATGCAGGTAATTAAACCCATAAATTACCTATGGATCTATATCTAGGAAGCCCTAATTATTATTCAAACTCATGATGGGTTTCTAATTAAACGGCCCATGACTTTCATCGTTATACATATGTCACACAAAGCTAAAAGGAAAACTGTCTAATGTGACACCCGTTATTACAAGAAATTATAGAATATTATGGTAGCATGGCTATGTGTACACATGATATATCTTGTACTCGTTTTATAATATGGTATTAGAAAATAATAGAGATATTTAGTCATATACCCATTCTTAGCACTAATAATATAGATAAACCCTACACCATTTAATTTCTATAAACAAACCCAAAAAGCTCTATTGAATTTAATTTTGATGATTAAATTACTTTGATGCCCTATTGAGTGTTTTGGGTTTTTTTGGGGTTGGGTTTGTTTTAAGAAATCAATGGCAATTTTGTAATTTAACAGAAGTTAAAAGCCTTTTTGTTATGTTGTAAATGGACTTTGGTTGTATATCTAAAGTCCATTTCATATAGGGTTTGTTTTTTTTAATTTGGTCTCCTATATTGGGTATAATAGTAAATCTTTCAAAATAATATTAATAAATATCTACTTATATTATAACACATATACAAAATATACTAGATGACCGTACTACTGTAATATTCTATAATCACTCCGTAATTACATGCATATGCATCCAGAAGTTGGCAATGCCAAAAAGAAAATAACAAAGTTTTATACTTTGCACATGCCACGTTTGCGCACACAAGAAATGCCTTGCTACATAGTCCTACATGCATCAATTGTCGTGTGCAAAAAAAAACATCGTTCACTCTTCCTACCTTTTTTCACATAAGAACTAAGAAAAACAGAAGCTATTTCTCATTAAAGCTGTAAAATACTGTTTGTACAATATCTGGCCAAGCATACCCCAAACATTCCCAAGCCAAAGGGAAGGGAGTCCCACATCGACAAAACACAAGAGGAGGGGACTCTCCCTTCTTTATAAAAGGAGACCTCTCCCCTTCAAGAAAGGAGAGGGTTGGGCAGGCTACTTGGGCCTCATGGGCTTACCCATGAGCCCATTTACAAGCCCACGGAACATTGGCCTTCAGCCAGATCTTCAGCCTCCGACCTTCAGTCTTCGGCCTTCAGCCTTCGGCCTTCGATTGGCGCCGTCTGTGGGAAGCAATACAAAACACTATGTCGTTCTCCTTCACGAGTGCTCTCGGCACCCTTTTGAACCATGCCATCGGCACCTCCTACAATCAGCCTTCGGCACCCCTGCATCATTCGGCGCGTGCGATGTCTTCACATCCCCCCAATGATTCGGCATCTGCCTTCGGCCTTCGGCACCCCTGCATCATTCGGCGCGTGCGATGTCTTCACATCCCCCCAATGATTCGGCATCTGCCTTCGGCCATGGAAGATTTGGAACATCCAATTCTCCGGCTACTCGTTGATTTCCGACAGCTCGATCGATCTCTTCCCTTGCTTTCTTGAGCACTCTTGGGTGGTTGATGAGCTCTGCCAATGCCCACTCTAGTGAAATTGCATTTGTGTCAGTTCCAGCCGTGAATAAATCCTGAAAAGAATATTTATGTTGTTTTTAGTAAAGTAAAACATCATCCTAGATCGAGAATATAAGATTCATTGATAATAATAATAAAATCTTTCTATCAAGGCAAAGTAACTCATATACCAATTAGAGCTAACAATATTGCACACGACCCATTAACATGACATGAATTCGCATCAAATTATTAGTATTTGGGTTGAGCTTAATGGGTCAAGTTGAAACGGGTGAACCCATTAACCACCCGTTAAGCTAACGGGTTGTGTTGGGTCAATTCGCGAATATTCGCATCCACTCGTTAAAAAGGGTAATTCTATAATTTTATAAAATATATATATATTTTTACATCTCATATCCCCAACACCAACAGACAAAGACTAATGCCTTATTTTTTTTGTTCTTTCTTCTTTTCCTTATCTCTCTCTCTCTCTCTCTCTCTTTTAATATTATTTTTCCTTCATTCCACTTTCTCATCTCCCCCTCTATTTTTTTTTCTCTCTCTCAATCTCTCACTTTTTTCCTTTTCTTCTCCCTTTTCGAAAATTGCCCATCTCTCCCTTTTCTTCTTCTTCTCTCAATTTTTTCCTTCTTCTCTTCTTCTGTCCCTTTTCTTTTTCTTCTTCTTCTTCTTCTTCTGTCCATCTCTTTCTTTTCTCTCCATTTTTGTTCTTCTCTTCTTCTCTTCAATTTTTTTGTCTTAAATCTCCCCACACGTAAATTAAGAATTATAGATAGATATCGTTACCGTAATTAGAGCCTTAATGTGAAGTCTTGTAAATTCAACCTCAACAGTCCCTTCCTCCAACACATCAAGCAATGTATCAAGAAAATCCTTGACTTCCTCCTCCTCTTCCATCCGTTCCTTCTTTCTCAGCTCTTCTCGTTCTCTAATTACCTTCTCCACCAACACATCAAACCTCCTGTGCGTCTCCTCAATTCTCTTCACAAACCCTCCCAAATCTAACTTCTTACAAACCCAAAAAAAATCACACAAACTCACCTCTCCCAAAAGCCTCGTGGCCTGCCGCACCACCACCACCACCTCCTCCGCCAGCACCGCCCTACATTCGGCGCTCAAACCCCGATTCCCAACAATCATCTGCAAGATCACATTGTTCCAAAGCTTCGGAAACTCGTCAGTGAGATTCACAGCTTCACCACTCTCAGCTTTCTTGGCCAAGAACCTCAGAAGCCTAAGATACTCTCGAGTTCGAATGGAAACTAAGTTGTTGATGCTACGGTTTCCTAGAAGCTCGTTCATTGTCAGTTTCTTGATGAACTTCCAGTAAGGTCCATAGGGTGCAAATGCAAGGGAAGCATTGTAGGTTATGCTTTCAACGGCGAGGGACTGAGCATGGGATATGAAGGAGAGCTCATGGGTGCTGAGGAACTCTTTCACTAGGTCCGCTGAGGAAACGACGACGCACTGGAGCGAGAAGAGGCGGAGGGAGAATAAGGGGCCGAAGCGCATAGAGAGGTTGTGGAGGGTGCGGTGCATGAGAGGGCCGAGGAGGTGGTAGTGCCCTATGATGGGTAGAGCTAAGGGGCTTGGAGGGAGGTGAAGGTGGGTTTGGAATATTTTGGAGGTTAGGGTTGGGAAGAGAAGAAGAGGGATAGCTAAGAGAAGAAAGAGGATCATGAGTAGGACTAGCTCAAGTGCCATGGCTAATGCACATTTGGTGGAGATTTTTACAAGATAGCAGAATTTATAGAATAATTTAGAAAGAAAAGTTGGTGGTTGTATTCCGTAAACACTAGTCAATTGAAGTTAATAGAAAGCTGTAGTAGAAACTACAATATATGGCTGAAAATGGCTTAGACAAAGTTGGTTACTGTGCAAACCGACTTAACTAAGCAAAAAGCCCACTTATGTAATCAAGCAAGAAAAAATCTGAAAACTACCAAGCTGTCTTGTATCCCACTAAGTCTCTCCATTCAACTTTGCTATCAGTTACTCTTAGAAAAAGTTTTCCATTCCTATTGTCTTATTGTCCTAAATTCCTTCATCCTATAAACTAACAACGATTTCAAAGCAACACACATCACACCTCCTAAAATTCCAACACTTAGTTGTGAGAAGACTAGCTAACTGTGCAATGGGATTGTTTGTTTTCAATTTTTTTTTATTTTCAATAATGAGGGTGTTTCTGAGTTTTTTTTTTTTTTTTGGTTCCGGTTTTAAAAAATTGGCCTACAATTTTTGTGGATTTGGACTTCAAATCTGTTTTTGAGTTTATAAAATTGGATCAAAGTAGAATACCAACCTAAGTGATGGAATTGATCCCCCAAAGCACATTTACAACATAACAAAAAAGCTTTTAACTTCTTTTAAATTACAAAACCACCGTTGATTTCTTAAAACAAACCCAACCCCAAAATCTCATAAAAAAAACCCAAAACACTCAATAGGGCATCAAAGTAATTTAATAATCAAAATTAAATTCAATAGAGCCAGCAGTCATTTTTTGGGGGGTTTTTGTTTTTTGAGTTCGTTTATAGAAATTAAATGGTGTATGATTTAGCTATATTATTAGTGCTAATAATGGGTATATGACTAATTTTATACCGAGGGAAGAAGATTCATCGCTGCCCGTTGAAGTTGAGTGGCCAAATTGATGACACATACCAGACAACATTATCTCCAACGCATTATTTAGGGTTAATCAGTGTGTCACACCAATCACTTCATTTTCTTGGATCCAATTATGGGTTGATTGAACAATTATTTACATTTGTTATAAAACTAAAGAAATTGAGGAGAGAATTTAGAGAATTCAAATAGCGATAGGAATGCTCTTATGATATTTTCATTGATTCTTTTTCTCTCTTTCTATATTCTCTATCTATCTCCTTACAGAATGAGAATGAAGCCATAGTTTTATAAACAAAACTTTGGCTAACTATTCGGTAAATAGAAAACTCGTGAAGGTGTGTGAGATTCCCTTCTAATCATGTGGGCTCCACTCAAGACTTTACAACACTCCCCCTTGGAGACCACTATGGAATATGCCTCGTTAAAACCTTGCCAGTAAAACCCAGTGGGACAAAAACTGGTCGAAGGGAAAAAGAG